AAAAAAAAAAAAAAGCTGCAGAGAAGAGAACTTTAAAAGTAGAGGCTCTGATCATCAATGTGAGAACAGCAAAGTTTCTCGGAGAAGAGACATTTTGGAAAAAGGGCTGAGAAATCCACGTAAATGCATTTCAAGGGTCCCAGAAAAGCATCTGAGGCTGACTTGAATAAGGAAGCATCCATCGCGGGTTCCCGCTGGGTGTCCATCTCATCCCAACAGTGAGTGGCTCTGCCGGGGAAAGTCCAGAGAGCCCAAAGGAGCCCGCATGAGGATGACACTGTTTGACCTTAAAACGTCACGTGAATTAATTCGATGTCCATAATATGTCCGGGCCAGGTCTGACATTCACAATGGCTTTAAGTTTCCAGTTAAACCTTCTAACATTTTCCCCAACTCGAAGTGAAAGGGATGCACCAGGACAATGTGTCACGTTCTGTCCCGGGCATCCAGTCCCAGCCCCAAGGGTTCGCATGCACTGCTTTCAAAACTGCAAGCAGAAGGTTTTGTGCCAGAGCAGGGCTGAGATTGTGCCACTGAGCCCAAGGGCCTGGGTGCCCGGAACAGAAATGCTGAGCTGCCGCCAGAGGGGGACTTTGCCAGGCAAGCTGCAGTTGCTTTGGGAGATGAGCACAGGATGAAGATCTGAGGAATGTATAAAAGTTCCATAATGACAGGCACCGCTGGGTACCACCCGGGCTTCCAGAGCTCCTCCCAGCCTCCACTGCGGCTTGGGCTTGGGCTTCGGCTGGGGTCGCCACCTCCCTGATGACTTATGGGCTTCCTTCTCCCAGCAGCTTTCTGGTCATATTTCTGTGGCCTCGGCCAGCTCCCGCCCTGTGCAAGGCCATTATCACTGCTTATTACAATGCCGTTCAGAGGAAAAGCCACCACACTACAAAGGAGCCTTGAACTTGTAATAAAATCAAATTTTCTTTTCTTCCAGCACAACAAAAGGGCAGACAGGCGGGCCCCGAGGAGGTGCCACGAAGACTGTGCAGATGACAGACACAAGACCAGGCAGCGGCTGGCAGCAGGGAGCTCCTGTCTCCTCGTGTCTGCCTCAGATGAATGTGGGTGTGACTGCCACCAAAGTGGAGCCCTCCCTCATGCAGACCTGCAGGGCCCCGCTTCCCTCCAGCAAGGAGCAGCCTCCTCAGCCTGCTTTGGTCTCCGTGTCTCCCTGAGCACAGACTAAGTGCCAGTAGCCTTCTCCAACCACCATGGCCTTCTCCACCGATTGGCCAGTGTTGCCTCGAGGAGCCTTCGATTAGATGCTAAGTCTGAGAAGATTCAAGCGCTGGTTGACCAGAAAAGCAAAAATGGAACTTCCGATGAAGCAGACAGATCAGAGAAATGGAGAAAGGGCTGGGGAGCAGCAGAGATGTGTTTCCTAAGAGAGAAGGACAGAGAAGGAGGAAACCTGAAAGGCTTCTGCGAAGCCATCGCTCTGCAGAGGGGCCAACATGGAGATCACAAAGCTGAGAAGCAGCCAAGATGAGCTGAGCTGACAGACAGCAGGGCCGCCCAGAGTCCCATGGATGGAAGAGGACCTATGGGCCCAGGACCACACGCCAACCCCCAGACACCCCATCTCCCTGCTGGCTGCCGTGGAGAGGAAATGGCACAAGCGTTCAGGTGGAGGCTGCAGAGGACCAGCTGGTGAGTACACCCAGGCTACTACTGTCACTTGTGATAATTCTAGCCTCTTTCTGGGGTTTCCAAAAATCAAAAGACCTGAGTGAATCTGCTGATGAGTTTTGAGGGATGTGGGGCTCCAGGGTGGGAGGGTCCCCGGACCTCACACAGGGTAGGACCGGACGTGGTGTACTTTCTCAATTCCTGGATTGGAATATTGGCGAGACTATTCGTTCCCAGAGAAATGGGGCCACCAGTGGGCCGTCCAGCCCACGCTTCTTCATGCGGTTCACAGTGGGCCAGGGCCCATTGGTGCAGCACCTCCTCCACAACCGGCAGGGAACAGAAACGGAAAATCGCAGTTCTGGTGAAGGCCTGGCTGCTATGGTGAATACAGGCAACCGAGTCCCAAATGTATATGAGAAAGACCCAGAAGGTAAGGGGAGGAGCTATTTAACAGGCGTGAGATGGAAGTTTGGAAATACGTTTGTTTTTAATGTAATTACAAAATCCCACATATGACACGAAGGGCAGCAGTCATTTGCAGAACAACTGCCGTGTGTGTGAGACAGGGTCTCAGGGCAGGGGCCAGGTGAGGAGGGGCACAACACACCCCTGCCCTGCAATAGCTCCAGGTCTGCTGAGTGGACGGGTCCATGACAGGCACAGTGCAATTTACCTGGGTTCTCAACTCCCCAAATTTCCTTCCCTCTCCTCCCCACCCCAGCTTCTTCCCAAACTACTCCTGCCCCAAGCTCCAGTCCAGCCTCTGCTGGGGACATGGCTGAAGTCATGTGATCCTCACTTCTCAAAGGAGGTTCCTCCTCACCCCACCCTTCCAATGGCTCTGATGGGGCTCAGCACCCGACCACGCTGGGAACCTGACGCCCCTCAGCACCTTCTCCTCCGGAAGTCAGGTAGTCAGCTATTCAGAACTGTGGTTCTTGATGCTCTGGAGACCATGGCTGAGCCCTGGCCGTGGCTGTTTGTCAGCCCAGTGGCCTCCCAGAAGTACGTTTTTAGAAACACAAAGGTGGTTGGCAGGTTCACTGGGGGAAACCATTCCAGGGATGCGGCAGGGGCCAGTGGGGGAGGCTTCAGTGCCCAGAAAGCCCTTGGGAAGGAGGAAACAGAAAAGGAGATGAAAAAGGGAAACGGAGGCAGCACAGGTACCTGCGGAGCTAAGGCCCTGCTCTGCCCCTCACACAGGGAGAGCCCCTGGGGTGGGCGGCTGCTGTGCACCCTGGACTGGCTTGTAGAGGGGTCAAGGCCAGGGCAGGGGCGGACACTGTGAAACCCACCCCAG